ACTTCCTTTCAGTTTTTACATCACTTCATTCATGTCAATCATATGTGCACGGTGTTACGGGCTCAAATGAAGTAATATAGTACATGAGGATGATTGAATAAATAACTGAACAATTGGCTGAGTGGAACGTACAAGATGTAGATTGATGGAAGCAACTCAACTTTATTCGTGACAAATTCCTAATATCTGCCAACTTATGCGTATAATCAAAATTTCACGGTTCATTCTCACAATCCATTTCACTGCTATTGTGTGACGAAAAAGCACCGTAACCTTACGTTCAGAGCATGTAACTATGCGATGCATTAAGATTAGATGATATATGAAATTGTTGACGAAGTGATAGGGAATATAGATTTGATTTATAAAAGATAATTGTTTTGAAAACAGAAGTAAACATCTTTGATGTTACAATGACAGCAACAATGTATATAAACCGAAATGTTACAATGTGTCGAGATTTGATTTACAGCTCAACCGTAAACAAGTGCCAAAGTTTATGCATTGAATTTGATTAAGTTGTAAGTGAGTATAATAAAATAATGCATACGCCCATTAGTAGAAGCATTTTTTCGATCGATCATAAACTTGGCCAAATCGTTTGCATTGTCTGAAGCGAACCTTCATCTATATGTCACATTTGAGACGCATGTATGTTCCTGTTCTTTTTTTCTTAACAGAATCATCAAAATGAGTGAATTGTGTTATGGAGAAAAAGATAAACATTGCTCAGAAAAAGACTAAAACAACATGATAAAATCGAAAGCAGGTCTCGATCAGCGAGCAGATCAACAACTGAATCAAAGAAAGCCATTCACTTAGCGAATGATTGCTTATTGAAGGTAACGATAGGTTGATGCAACCAGGAGAGAGCAAGAGACAGACCGAGTAAATGAAGAGAGGAATGGGAGTTTGAGTATCGAAATGATATTGTGTTAATAGACAGATTGCTAGTATTACGGTAATTGTGTAGGATTCGTTGACTGAGATTGATGTGTTATTGGAAGCAATTAGCGAATCAAAAGCAATCTTAAAGCAAACATTGTGACGCATCATTATTGAAATATTATTCAATTGAAAACAATTGGTTTTCTTTATTCTTTTACTAATTGCTTCTTTCTCTTCTGAAATATTTTACGTTTCTTAACACTGCTTCTTCACTTTGGTCGATATCAATCTTCGTTCATCTTCAAACGTTACGTTTTTTTCGCGTTGTATATATATATAGAGTGCTTCTAATTTTCAGACTGTGCTTTAGCATAATCATTCGCTCAATTTATGAATATAATTCCCTTTTCAGGAATTTATTTTCGCTTGTTCATTGCAAAAAGATGAATAAGCACTAAGAGAAAAGGTGCATAAAGAAGCAAATAGCACTTTGCTTTTGAAAACTCAGATGAATGCACTTCGAAGAGTCACTTGATGATTTCATTGAAAAAACTGATCAATATTTCATTTGAGCAGCTTGTTTTTGCGAGTTTCTTTTGAAAAAAATAAACTAACAAGTTGATTCCAATAATTGTAATGGAAAAATGAAAGCGATTATCTATTTCGGATTGTAATGATCAACTTTGATCAACATCCTTGAACAGGAATCATTTGATTAGGAGTTGGAAACAGAAATAAAACTAAACGTTCTCATAAATTATATGGATTGATTTATCTAAAAAGGATATCAAAACTTCTCCATTATTCCAGAGTGTATTTATTGCAGGCATTATGTAATAATTCTTCTGAGTGGAAGTCGATTAATACGTTACAAGATTAAGGCAATAAAAGATCTATTTGCACGATATTCACCCAGTCATTTAGTTGAAGAACTTGAGTGCGGTTATTATCAAAGGAAAGAACTGAGCAATTGAAGAGTGGATATGAGCAATTTGTGAATGGAGTGATCAACAGTTGCTAGAAATGTTTCAGTTAATCGATCAAGCGGCTATTAGTGTCACATTCACTAAGGTTGATAACACAAAGCCACTTACCGCTACTAACAGAAGGTAAGTCAGTGGGGAGTGAAGATGCTAAATTACCTTTGTGCACTGCATATAAGATTATTTTCTAATCGCATTATTCAACCACCCTTCTATATCATCATTCTTATACAACTTTCTAAATGCACACAAGTCGCATGCCAGCAACAGCACCATTCGAAACGATTCCTTCCTGGAACTTATAGCATAGCTGTTGGGAGATTGATGCTCATCTCAACCAATTAAATAGTCTCAAATTATTTGAGCTCACATTGTGCTGTATTTCTTGAAACATTAAGTGAGAATCAACGCAAGCATGAAATCAGTGAACAACATATATGATGTCTCGATTAGCTTTTCAGTCATGTCATTGTTTTGGTGCAGGTTATATTCTTCCATCCAACTATCGTTTTATCAGCTAATTGTAAATGTATCAAATAAACACTGAAGCAGTGTGCACTGTAAACCAATAACACATAAAATTTCATAAAGAAGTTGGTTCTTTTGGTTCATTTGAAGGAATGTTAATTCTAAAGTACGCATCACACATTTGACAAAATATTGTTGTTGCTCTTGAGAGGAAATTCTGATAAGCGATCAACAGCAAACAAGTATTTCCTATCAGTGACGAAAGCTAAAGTTGTTGTTATTACCAGTGTTATCGATATAAGATGCTCTTGATGCCACATCCTTCATCTGTACCGTAATCATGTTGCATGAGAGAGCAGTGTGATTATCATTTGACAATACTGATAATATACGGTTGATATTAACACTCAAATAAAAACTCTTATTCAAGTCGATTTACAAGTAACAAAATAACTGATGATCAGCGAGTTATTCCGCTGAGTAATGAATATTGGAAACACAGAGCCTTTTCATTTTCCACGCACCAGTCGGCTAGATTTTTCTAAATGAGAAATCGTGGTCAGATCAAGCATATCATTGTGTGTTGAAGATTTCTTCAGATTGTTGCAGACCATAAGCTATTCAAATCCTCAAAACATATTCCTTTTTATTCACAGTTTTCAACTATGAATAAAATTTCAAAGTTTTTAAAATTCCTAAGTATTCATAGTTTTTATTCATAGTTTTCAATCTTTTTTCACTCACACCCCCCAAACAATTTTGAAATACTCTTACACCCCTCACAACAATAGTTTATATAAGAATGAAAGTAAACATGACTGAAAGAATGTTTTATAACTAATTTTTGATATCACATAAAAAATGATCAGTTGGGAAACAAAAAATATTACAAAAAAGTAATAGTTGTATAAACTCAATACATTTCATTAATGCACGAAACTTTTTCAAAAATAAATACGTTGTAGTCCACCTTCGCCTACTTTGCAAATATGTATGTGTTGAACTGTGCCCTCACCCATTTTAATGGATAAAAAATGAAGTGTTGTTTTGCACTCTCTGGAATACTATCTTGCCCCCTGATTCAGAAATCATCTTCATGTGGATCAGTCATCAGATACATCACCACACTCATGAACGTTGAAGGAACATAATAATAGTTGGAATATATTATATCTGAGAGTAGGGTATGCATTTTGATCACAAATTTGCTCGAGGAAAGACCCTGTCTCAAGCACTCAACCAGTCTCAGAATGGTGAGGATGTTCCCATAAAAACATTGTTTTTCCCGCCCCCACGAAACTAAGATCTCTTAAATACCGCAGTAGATTATTTCTCACGGAACTGTCGTATGCACTTCACTCGAGAGCCATATATCATTAGAGAACTTAGAATCTAAATATGTTGTTCAAACTTTCGAACCGTGTCCAACGTAATGAGTTTGAAACTGATCCTTCGCAATGGATGATAATACGTTTCCAGTACTGGTATCACAAAAATGTGCTCAGATAGCAGGAACAATGAGTTGTCAGGGCACCATGCGAAAGGTCCGAAGTGCGATATCAACAATCGTTTTTCACGGCATCGTTCCAATATTACTTGAAACTTCTCAAACAGCTGAAAAGTTTGTAATTAGTGATCAACAGTCCGTTGATCTTTTGCGAGCAAGCACTAAATGACTTCGATGATATGTTTTAGTTTCACTTAAATGCACGGATGAGTTGGCTAATCCATAAATTTTCTGGGATAATTTGATGACCGAATGCTGAAGTGAAGCCGACTGTAATAAATTTCCACACGACGTTTGTTCTTACCGAATTAAACGTTCTATCAAAATCGATGAAAAGTAAAAATTGCATTCGTTAACATTTTTGATGAGTTGATTCATTATGTGGACTTGGCTATTGTACTGTTGAATATTGTGACTTAAATCCATATTGTTCGTGGCACGAATATAGCGCGGACCACCTTCAGGTCAGCTGTATACTCAAAGTCGATCAATAATCATGCAAATTTTTTGTATCATTTAGATAAGGGAGATTCTGCATTGTAAGGAAAATATGTACGTTCTTGGCAGGTAACGCTTAGTTCCATTGATATAGATGCGCTTATTGCAGTGCTTTCTCCGTATGAAAGTACAAAACGTAACCTATTCCCCATTCAAAGCAAACGTATTCATCTGCTTGATCAACGCACAGCTGGTTCTTCGTTCCACTGAGACAGAGTAGTTTTTCAGGTACAAAAGGTATGGACATTCCATATGTGAGAGGCTCATTTATGCAAATAAACTTGTGTTCGTTGGCGTATCTCCTAGTTAGGAGAATAGATGCAGCACTACTGCCTTTAAACCATCTCTGTACTCACAAACTCCATAATCTTAATCACAAACTCCATAATCTCTTTACACACTCGAGAATAATGAATTTCTTCCCGATAAAATGAAATGTATCATTTCGATCTGCTATTGATAAGACGCTCTAATTTATTACGAAGTTCATTACTGATTTCTACAAAGATGTTTGAAGTTTTCACTTCAAAATTTAGTGCGAACCTTTTCGAATGATTTGACAAAGATATGCCTGCTTTCAATACTTTGATGTATTTGCAAATTTCAGGTTGAGTTCTTGTTTTGGTTGTGCGAGATGATGATTGATAATTTCAGGGATGTGGTATAATTTAAGTGGAATCCGATGTTTGTTTTGTTGTGTGGCGAAACCGATTTTTACTTTCAGCAATGATAAATTCATTTTTCATTGCCAACTTCGTTTCACACATTTCTTGATTTCGATGAACCCACTGTTTTTGAGCATGCAGCTGGTTCTCGTTTGTTGACTCAAATGATTTAGTTGATTTTTGTTGTTCGCATTAACCTGAATAATTTAAGGCTTGCTGCTCGGGCGCGCTGCTCATCATCATCAGAAACGAAACCCCTTGGTGCAGAATCTGCCAAGCAGCCGAGCAGGTTGCTATCTTTTCACATTCTTTCTTCTCTTATTATCATATCGCAAGAATCAGCTGTGTAGGTCCAATAGAATTTGGGCGTGTTTGTTGGGCATGTGAATGGTAGTCGAGTAATACTGGGCTGTTTCACTTCACTTTTCATTTCATTTGATTAACAACTTAACAAATTGCAGTGAAGAAGAGCCTGAAGTTGACTCAGAGCAGTTACGTATCGATTTGAGAATGAGTAGTTCAGAGGAGGTGTCATGGATCACATGGTTTTGTGGTTTACGTGGCAACGAATTCTTCTGCGAAGTAAGTTCCGGTATTTTTTGTTTTGTTGTTGCGTTTATATTCTTCAGATATATTCTCGAAAACAATTGTAATCGATCACACTCATATGTGCGCTCGCGTTTGATTTCGCTATCGGCTACTAAAGGTAAATGTCTGCTGAGGGTGTTAATTGTTCAGGTGGATGAGGAGTATATTCAAGACCGATTCAACCTAACGGGGTTGAATGAACAAGTTCCTCATTATCGTCAAGCACTTGATATGATCCTCGACTTGGAACCAGGTTGGCGTTGTTATTTAATTTTGGTAATCCTACTTTGTGGTATTTGTTTTTTGATTTTCGACTGAAAAATGCTTATTTCGTTAATGCCTTTTTGATCTAATGCTTTTTAAAATCTTTTTTGATCGTCTTTCTATAAGCGAAGCCGCGATAATATCGTGTTCAAGTACACCCACAACATCCTTGCTGTTTTTGAGTTAATGAACTTAGAGCTAGAGCAGCCTTTACCCTCAACATGGGAGTATACGAATAATACTTATTGCACTTCAAAGAGATCTGTAGGCTTCGCCAAAATATCTGTCGCAAATAAATTCAGCTATTTTGTTACCATAGAGAACGATGATGTAATCATAAAGCATGCTGTGATATTACTTTTAAGAATCAGCTAATTGTAAGTGAATAATCAACTAAAACAACTTCAGATGATGACTTTGAAGACAACCCGAATCAGTCTGACTTAGTGGAACAAGCGGCTGAAATGCTGTACGGCTTGATCCATGCGCGTTATATTCTCACTAATCGTGGCATTCAACAAATGATAGACAAATGGCATGATCATGACTTTGGTTTATGTCCACGTGTTTATTGTGAAAACCAACCTATGCTCCCAATTGGTAATTCTATTTTGATCGTCCATTTCATTTTTGTGAATTCACCACATATACTATCTCATCTCTTATTCAAATATTTGTTTTCCGTTCTTGTCCCATGCTCAGTCTAGAAGATATTCACGAATTAGTAATAAGTAATGGAAAGAATCTCAGTTATATAAATGATCTCTTCTGATATGTCTGCGGATTGCCAATGATCTCTACAATTGTCAATGTCCTTATTTGATAGTATTTATATGAAAATGTTTAATAATCAAATTTTTTGGTGTTTGCAGGTTTGTCGGATGTTCCTGGTGAATCAATGGTGAAGTTGTATTGTCCACGTTGTTGTGACGTTTATTTGCCGAAATCATCCAAACACCAAAATACTGATGGTTCATATTTCGGTACTGGTTTTCCACATATGCTCTTTTTTGTGCGCCCAGAGGAAAGACCGAAACGACCGGCAACCAGTTTCGTGCCGAGGTTAGTTCTTGTTGAAACTTCGCAACAATATCTCAAAATTATAGTGATGTTCATACCAACGTTGCAATCATGACCGTAAACTCACTTTGCCGTTATAGGTTGTACGGATTTAAAATTCATCCTTTGGCTTATGGTCTACAATATCAACAGTCACAAGGTGCAATAACACTGTCGAGCAGCGCATCACCTTCAGTACAAGCGGCTGTCGGTGCTGGTGTTTTCGGCAATAAGTGATCAGTTAAAGTGGATATTGCTGATAAATCATTATATGTTATTACAGTTACATTCAGACATTGTTACATCTTTACACTTTTCGGTGGCTATTGTTTGTTTTTGTTTGTCCAGTTCTTAATGCATCTTCTGACCGAATTGTCATGATATTTCTGCGAAATTTATCAGTGCGGCGAGGCATGTTTTGATATCTTTGCATACATTTTCTACAAACGAAGTGTAGTCGCTGAACTGATTAGAGGGTACATTTTTCTTTCCGATATTTAACGTCTTATATAAATCCGAACTCATGCACAACCAGCGCAGTATGAAATTTCATTCATTCGGTAAATCTTTGATTCGTTTCAAATTTCTCCTCAATTCCGCGGTATCAACCAACTCAGTTTGTTTTAAAGTTTTATTTCATAACAAGAACACACGCATCACGCATGCTTCAACGAGCTTGGATGAGAATTGAAGATTCCATTGCTTCGTCCGATCTTATAATCAATGCCTCTTTTGTGTATTATGAATGATGTCAGTAGATATTCTGCGCTTTTCATGCCACGGTATTGTGAATGCGTGATACTTTGTTAAGCTGGTGCTGTGGGCGGAATTAACGAAATGATATGGCATTCCAATGCCCTAGCATTTAGGATAGCCTAAAAGTGTTCCATTGCAACCATTTTCTTAGTTACAAATTATGATATTTAAATTGCATTCTGTGTGAATGTTATCATGACATTATCATGCGAACAGTTCATTTGCTGTTTTCATTTTCATAAAGTGAACGAATCGTTAGTAACAAAGAAAGAAACGATTGACCTTAACTAGTGAAGGATTCCAAAAAAGTGTGTCAAAATACTTTTGCATTCCATCTGTTTTGCGACTCCCAAACTTTGAGCGTTGTTCCAGAATTGATTTGCTCCATCCAAAATCTGTTTTCTTTCGTATACTTCCTTTTGTTGGTTCCTCGTTTGCGCCACCGTTTTATATCGTTACTTCAATTTTTGTTGCTGTTTTATTTTAAGATGATTATCTTTGTTAATCCATTACTGATGATGAGTTTTTAATACGTAGTGGTAACTGTCATGTCCGAGAGCTCGTTTGGATTGTTAAATATGATTGCTATGGATTTCGTTGATGTGTTCATCAGCACGGTGTTTACCAATGTTGTTTTCTGTTATTTTGCTTGTTTATTTGTTTCACTTGATCAGAACTGACATTGCAAGAAGAAATCTATGTTTTTGTTGAAATTGATATATAATACATGTTTATATGGTAGTATAATGCTGTGTGTATGTGTTTGTATGGATGGCTGGTGGCGTGTGGCTTGGTGAGAGTGCATTGTGTGCATTTATTGTAGGAAATGAAAATTGAGTGTGCAATAGACGAGAATGATTATTTCTTTTTTTATGACTTCACGAACGGGATACTTTTGGAGCCCATTAAGTTGCTCACGTCAAATCCAATAAATATGTTTTTTGAATATCGATTCTTTACTGTTGCATTGCACCGACCGTCAAATTGACTGTGCATTTGCTTTTTCTCGTTTCATTTGCTTGATTCAAATACATTGTTCGTTCGTAAAGTTATTATCTTCGAACACATCCAACAATAGGTTTAGAATTCAATAATACGCATGCGTATATAT